GGAACAACAGTCTTCCCTGGTCCCGTTATTACTGTGGATTCGAGTGGAAGGAATAATGACGGCACAAATCGGATTGCGAGTAGTCACAGCATGTCACAGCCTTATCTTTTTCCGACGGAATGGGACTGTGTGAGGGATGAGATTACCCCACAGACCTTAGATGGCATTTATATTACCAATGGTAACATCCAATGGTCCATTGAACCCCTGCGGGGGTGTGTGGGAGCAGGGTAGAGGGGGCAATGGGGGAAAGGGGACATCTGTAATACTTTCAACAACAAAGATAAATTTTTAAAAATGTTAAATCCAAAACTGTCTGCCTGAATCAGCCATTCTTCTCTAGGCATTCATCCCAAGGCTAGAATTAACAATCTCTATCTAAGCAAGTTTATGTGAGCAAAAACTTTAATAATAGCGAAAATGTCCAAAGCAGAACATTGTTAAGTGAATGATAGTGAATCCAAAAAACTGAATAGTATTGAGTGATATAAAATGTTGCAAACATTTATAAAAGTGGCTTATCAATTGATTGCCCCCCCCCAAAAAAAACCACAATAAAATCCAAGGAGTAAATATTTCATCAAAATCGACGAGAAGTATAAATAACTAATAAAAATAGAAACAATGCTATCACATAATTATTTTTAAAACTTACTCCCAGGCAAGAAAGAAATAAAAAATAATTGTCATTTCAAGATGTTAAAAGACAATTTACAAAAGACCACTCCGTGGTGCCTTTGGCAAAGGCTTACTCTCCTTAGAATCCCCTTTTGGAACAACTAGTATTGCTCCAAAGTTAGCAACCAGCCAAGCAATTGGTGAGTGAGTTCAGACTCTATGTGGTTGGCTGCTAGAGTCAGCAAGCTTTGGGGGGCACAGATCCCCCACTCCCTCATTCTTTAGGAATTCCAGTCCTGTCCTGTCGTGGAAGCTGAGCTCCCTCCCATGGCACCTGACCAGGAGTTACAGATTAATTGTGTGATGAGGAACCCCTGGGAACATCATGCTCCCCCTGTTCCTGCTGGCTGGCTGTAACCATAGCAACCTCCTACTCCAGACCAAAGTTCAGCTCCTGCAGCTCTTTATGACCACGTTCAGAGTCCAGTGCTCATTGGTATAACCCGTCCTATGAAGAGTGAGCGCTTATATTTTACAACTAAGTATTCGACTCCATTTCTCAGTTCCGGACTCCAAATGATAAGGCCCGCGAACATTCCGCAGAGATAGAGCTGCCTTTCCCCCTAGGGCCCTCGCCTCCCTGGGACAATGCCCACCGCAACGAAAACATTGGCGTTCCTGTCGAGCTTCCTCACAAGCCTCGGGGCGTTCGTGGTCATCTGCGCTGTTCTGGGGACCCCTCAGTGGGTCAGCAGCACCATCACCATCAGCGATGACTTCTCCAACGGCAGCATTATCATCACCTACGGACTCTTTCGCGGGCAGAGCACTCAAAAGCTGACTCATGGACTTGGGGACACAGACAAGGATTTTGAAGGTAAATGAGGAACGAATCTGGATAGAGAGCGCGATTGCATTACCTGGGTAGGACTCGTGTCATCTAATATTTTAACATCTGTCCATAGTTAATGTGTTTTTTTCTATTCATTCGGCAAACATTTATTGAACATCTGGTCCACAGGTAACTTAATGGAACACAAAGACACATACGGCTGAGGTTTTGCTCTTCAGAAGGTCAGGGTTGGGAAGGGAAGACAGACAGCCGACGAGACACGGAGCTCTGACAGTTCTTCCCCCTTAACATTTCTTGACTCTTTCCACTTCCTGCCATCCTCAGGCCTCCACCAGCTCTTCCCGGGTTTCCTCCAACATATCTCCCTGTCGCCAGTCCTGCTGGCTTCCAACCCATTCTTCACGGTGTGCTTTCCAACACGCTAATCTAATCACTCCCTTTCCCAACCCCCGAATGATTCACTATTGTCCTCCGGATAAAGTCTACATTGTCACAGTGGCTGGGTCTGGCCTCGCCTCTCTCCTTTAATTTTGATATTTTTCATATCTGTTCATCCCCACGGCCACTGTATCATTATTTCCGCTTCCTCTGTTCTGGCTGTGCCTATCCGCACCACGGTCTGAATCATGGCAGCGGAGGCGATGGATAGGCGAGCTCCTGAGTTCATTGACAAGTAAATGATTAAGGAAAACTGTGTCGCGGCAAGACGGCCCCCATCAGCCAGCAAGGGCATAATTTTTAACCAAGTTGGCTGTGGGTTGTCAGCTGGAGCCACAGCCTCTATCCCAGTGGTTCTCAACCTTCCTAATGCCTCGACCCTTTAATACAGTTCCTCATGTTGTGGTGACCCCCAACCATAAAATTATTTTCGTTGCTACTTCATAACTGTAATTTTGCTACTGTTATGAATTGTCATGTAAATATCTGATATGCAGGATGTATTTTCATTGTGACAAATTGAACATAATTAAAGCATAGTGATTAATCACAAAACCAATATGTAATTATATATGTGTTTTCCAATGGTCTTAGGCGACCCCTGTGAAAGGGTCGTTCAACTCCCAACAGGGTCGCGACCCACAGGTTGAGAACTGCTGCTCTATCCAGAGCTTTATGAGAGGCTGTCCGAGCAAAAGAGGAAGTGGAAAACAAAACAGGGTGCATTCCTTATCCCTGTACCTCAAGTTCATTTCTTGAACCAATTCGAGCTTGCATTTTTACCTCCAAAATACCCACTGTTGTTGGCCATGATAGTATATTTCCATTAATTCTATTAATTCTGTATTTTATGAGAACACCTCATCTGTTCTCTGATCTCTTAGGCCCGCCCTCCTCCCTCTCAATGGGTGGGAAGTAGACACTCACTGAGAAGGACAAGCGAGCTCCTGCTTTGACTCTGGACGTGTGAATGCCCACCGTTCTGTTTTCTAAATGTGAGAGCAACGCGTGTAACTTGCTTAGCACCTTACGTGGGTTTCGCTTTGCACAGCGGCGCAGGCCAGTCCCCTGCAGGTGCCCTCGGGTGTTGTGGCCTCACTCCCTCCGATCCATGACTGGGCGTCCTTTTCTACCATCTAGACCAGTGGTTCTCAACCTTCCGTCCCTTTAAATACAGTTCCTCATGTTGTGACCCAACCATAAAATTATTTTCGTTGCTACTTCATAACTGTCATGTTGCTACTGTTATGAATCATAATGTAAATACCGCCAAAGGGGTCGCCACCCACAGGTTGAGAACCGCTGATAGTCCCTTCTACACGCATCCCGGCAGGAGTTCGGGCCTGGGCACTCGCGCCAGCGCCCAGCTCCAGTTTGTGAGTTTATTAATGAAATGCTTGTCTTAAACCAGAGCATCATGGTGACAGTTCCAAGTTATCAATGTGTCTTTGGGTGTTCGCGGCGCCTGGCCTCCCCCGCGGTTTCCGCAGGCTCACGCCCCTCTTCCCGCCCCGGCCTCGCTGCTCAGGGAAAAGGATTCGAGGTGCAGCTGCTAGAAACCCAGCCTTTCAAAGACTCGGTCACACGTTCGGGGACGTGAACAGCATTTCCCAAACCAGAGAGAGTGTAGGTTCCGAGTCCCCAGACTCACTTAGGAAGTTTAAAATAGGAATAACACCCTGTGGAGTTTAACACTCCCACGGCGTCTGTGTGAGCCGGTGGCTCCCATCTGCAGCAAATGGCTTCCTGAGAGCCCGGCCCACTCACACGCTGGGCGGCTGGGAGGAGGGACAGGACAGGGCCAGAGCCCGGCTCTGCAGCCCTGAGTGCGATGGAGGCTCTGCGGTGTCCAGTGGCAGGACAGCGGGGTCAAGGTCAGCCCTGAAGGCGGCAGGACCACGTGGGCACCCCCTGCCACGTGGGAGCTCTAAGGAGCTGGGAGGATGGAACTCGCCTTGCCTGGCTCTCTCCTTTGATGCTTTATTCCGCTGTGTTCCCCGGAGAGCCACCTTCCAACCTCCTGAAGTCACCGTGGGCCCCTGGGTGCTGGAGGAAGTCAGCCACGCCCCCAGGTGCTGGAGGCGATAAGCCACGCCCTCACGTGCTGGAGGAGATAAGCCACGCCCTCACGTGCTGGAGGAGATAAGCCACGCCCTCACGTGCTGGAGGAGGTAAACCACGCCCCCAGGTGCTGGAGGAAGTCAGCCACGCCCCCACGTGCTAGAGGAGATAAGCCACGCCCCCACGTGCTGGAGGAGATAAGCCACGCCTCCACGTGTTGGAGGAGGTAAACCACGCCCCCAGGTGCTGGAGGAGGTAAACCACGCCCCCAGGTGCTGGAGGAGATAAGCCACGCCCCCAGGTGCTGGAGGAGGTAAACCACGCCCCCGCCAGCGAAGGGGCAGTCTTCCCCGCTGGTGATTTTAGCCCCCGTGAGACTGGTGCCCAGTTCTCCGGAGAAGGTGGGAGAGAGCCTGTAAGTGCCTGTATGTCGCGGTGTCCCGCTGCTGCACCCGTGGGTGTGCCCTGGACGGCAGGACTCCCACGTCACAGCGACACATGCCGCTCTCCTGCCGTGTCTGTGACCACACGGGGCTTATTTCCATCGCTGGCCGCACAGGAAAACCTGCGGGACGGATTGCCTTTCCGTCGGAGACGTGCACCGTGTCTGCGTGGCTGGGAGGAGGTCACTCTGAGCACCTCCAAGGAGGGGTGAATATTGCAGAGCTCAGTTCCATGTCCCTAGGATGCAGCCCACTGTGCCATGTGTGCTGTGGATTTTGACATGAAAGAGCCAACTGAAGTGACCATGGCTGATGTCAAAGCAACGAAGGAACTCGGTCAGCAATAGGTCAGCTGGTGGGGAAGGTGGGGGCGAGGCCTGTGTAAGCAAATGGCCGGAGCAGCTCTCACTGACCCGGAGCTCCACCTGCATCACCCGGAGGCATCGGGCTGTCCAGCCCCCAGATGGACAGGGACAGGCCCTCCGTGCCCACTCGAGCACCTGCCCTGCCGGCTCCGGAGGTCTGGATACTTAACTTCAGCTCAAAGCACCCCCCAAGCAGCTGTGACGCGAGTGAGGAGCGTGGGCACCGAGGACTGCGCACACTCCTGGCCTGGGGGGGCTCACCATCTATTCTTTCTGGAGAAAGACTCGCCTGAGTTAAGTCCAACCTGCCAGGAACTGCAGGCACAGGTGTGTGGGTGACAGACGCAAGGGAGCCTCACCCCGACCTGGCAACCTGGCCCCTCGCCGCCTCTTCTCCACCCACCCCCTGTTTGTCCTCGGGAAGCTCAAATTTGTGCTGTCAGCCCCCGCCAAAAATAATCCAGGGAGAGGATCTGCTGCAAAAATCAACTAATTGCAGGGAGAACACGTGAGGTTTTCTCCACAATTTACAAAAAGCCCCGTCTCATCCATCTGCCACCTGACCACACAGGGAGGTGGAGTGTAAGGGGGCAGAAAAGACATCACCCTACCCTTCTCCCCAAGAGAACCCTGGGACCTTTCCAAGACGCTGGGGACACCAGCTGGGACAGCCCACGCTCTGGGAGCTGTGGACTTGCTGCGTCCCCCCCTCCAGGGTGCACGGTGGCCCACGGGTTGAGAAGCCGCCAGGTCCTGCTCCCCGTGACCAGGTGCAGGAGGAGGGGCAGAGGTGGTTCCCACCACCCACAAAGCCATGCCCCTCCTCGATTTCCCAGGACTGACAGGGCCAGGGGTAGAAGGGCCAGATGGCAAGTGGGTCTGAGGGTTAAGTCCCTGCGTGCACGGGGAGCCCGGATGTCCAGGCGACACATTTCTGCCCACGGCCCACCCCCCAGCTGCAGCGTGCTGGCCTCGCTCCCGGGGCTGCCCAGATCCGGGCAATTAGTTCCAATCAGGAGGCGGTTCTCCTGATTTCAAAGCTTGGCCCCCAAAAGGAAGAGAGGGAACGAGATGTATGTGCTGATTCTGCAGGCAGAGAGCAGCTGTCAGGCTCTGCGGGGCCTCATTTCATTCCCTCGGACTTTCTCTGGGTCCCCAGCTCGCATTGTCTGCGTTCCGAGTCAGGCCAGGAGGGGAGCGGGAGCTGCCACACCTGCGAGGCAGAGAATCCAGTGGTTCTCAACCTTCTGGCCCTTTAAATACAGTTCCTCGTGTTGTGACCCAACCATAAAATTATTTTCGTTGCTACTTCATAACTGTCATGTTGCTACTGTTATGAATCGTAATGGAAATATCTGATATGCAGGATGGTCGTAGGCGACCCCTGGGAAAGGGTCGTTCGACCACCAAGGGGGTCGCGACCCACAGGTTGAGAACCGCTGGGCTAAAGTGTAATTGTAAAATGTGGCCGTTAAATGAAGACAAGTTGTCTCGTTAACACATGGGAGAGCGAGTCATCAGGTGCCAAGACGACTCCCTTTGGAAAAGTCAGTCTTTGGGTCTCACGGACAGTCAGATGCAGAGCTCGCCTGATGGTCGCTTTCTAATTTACTCGGAAAAAGTGGGCCGCTCGCCGCTCGCGAAGGACCGCCCACCTGCAGCTTTAATAGGGCAGAGAGCAGAGCGACGCTCCAGGCGCCTGGGACTCAGGGCATTGCCATCCCGAAGCCCCTGTTTTCCAGTTCAGTACCCCATGGCCTCCCCCTGGCTGGGGAGCCTTCATGTGGCCCCGCACACTCTGGTGCTGAGGGAAGCGGGGCGAGCGAGGACCGGAAGCAGCCTGAGGCCCCTCGGTATCACCTGCCCCTCTGAACACAGGTGTCTGCGGCTTCCGGTTCCCCACGGTCTGGCATCCCTTCCACTAAGTTTCCAAACAGGTGTGTGCTCACGTAGAGCAGTAGGAGTCCCCCCACCGCTGCAGGTCCTGGGTGAGCGGAGACGCAAGAGGCTCAGCCTGAGGTCCCACCCAGTCCCAGCCAGGCACCCCCCCGAGGGCAGGCGGCCCCCCCAGAGGGCAGACAGCCCCACCTAGGGCAGGTGGCCCCCCCAGAGGGCAGGCGGCTCCCCCCAGAGGGCAGACAGCCCCCCCCCTAGGGCAGGCGGCTCCCCCCAGAGGGCAGACAGCCCCCCTCCCAGAGGACAGACAGCCCCCCTAGAGGGCAGGTGGCTCCCCCCAGAGGGCAGATGGCCCCCCCAGAGGGCAGGCAGCCCCCCTCCCAGAGAGCAGGCGGCCCCTGGCACCCCACCCATCCCCCCCTGGGCACCAGGTGGTGGCAGGCAGGCTACGTTTGTAGTTTAACCAATGATACCTAACAAGGAGGCTGTGCAGAGTTTACTGGCCATGGCTCGGGTTTCGGGGTGGCCCGCCCTGTACGCGCCTCCGAGTGGAAGCCGGAGCTCCGATGAAGTTGTGATGACGGAGTGGCGAGGGCCGGAGGCTGGAGCTACCGGGGAAGGTTGGCCCCTGCAGCAGCCTACTAAGGGGCACCTGCTCTCCTGGGGGCTTTAAAGTTGGGGCGGATCCCTAACCTGAAGCACTATGGCTCCACCCTGCACCCTGAGGTTCAAGGATCGGCCTGGAGGGGAATCGTGGGGATCCCTGGGTCCCATTCGTCCTGTCGGGCAGGTCCCCGAGATGCACCCGACCGGCTCTAATCCCGTTCCTGCCCGCAGAGCTCGCAGGAATGCCTTCTCGCCTCGTACTTACCAACTTTATCTTAGTTTTAGCGAAACTGGGCGATTCTGCCCCGAAGACGCTGCATTCGGTGGTGATCCTGTCCCTGGTCCTCAGCTTGTCCACGTCGCTGCTGAGTGCCGGGTTCACCTTCTACAACAGCGTCAGCAACCCCTACCAGACGTTCCTGGGGCCCCTGGGGGTGTACACCTGGAGCGGGCTCAGTGGTGAGTACGGCCGGGCGCGTGATCTGCTCCCAGGCGCCCCCTCCCCAGCCTCTGCTCCTCAGTCAGCCATGCCAACAAGGGGGCTGCTGGGGCGGAGGGGTGGGGGGCGGGGGGCGGGGGGCTGGGGTTTATTTTTGCATATTTACAGCATTTATCCAGCATCTCTGGAAACAAGAGTCTGCATTAAATGCTTTGGTGAGAGGCAAGGAGAGGGGTGAGGAGGGCGTGTTAGGTGTGAAAACGCATGACATGCACCAGGCTTTGCTTTTGAGCACCTGATGTGAGGGCTTAAACAAGCCACACACGTCAGTACACATCCACCAGGCTCCTGCGATGGGGTTACCTCCAAATCGGGCTCCATGTGCTGTACGGAAGCGCGCACACGCACACATGCATGCACACTGCCCCCACATGGGAACACACAAGCATACGTGCACACATGCGTACTTAGTACTTCTCGTCTCCGTATCACAACAGTCAGCTGGGCTGAAACCATGGCTCGGGCATGACTGTGCCAACGCCCTTCCCGTGGGCGGCCGGGAGGGAGCCGGGGTTGCCGGGTGGTTTTATTTGCTCGCGGGGCAGGGTGTGGTGGGGCTGCTGGCTGCACGGGGAGGGATCCCAGCTTGAGTCACAGGAGATTTGCCTCTCCCTGTGGCTCCCAGGGCTCTGTGGCCACCACCTCTGTCCGGAGGCGTGGCCCAGCGGGTGCCTCTGTGCCCAGCAGGCAGCCAGCTCTCTCCTGCTCCCTCCCTCTCCCACTAGGAAGCTGGGTCTTGAGAGAGGATGGGGAGCCGGCCTGCTAACATGTAAGCCCCAGGGGTGCGTCTGATGCAGGCCAGACCCTCTCCAGCACAGGCAGGTGCTCAGGGGCAGGTGCAGGAGCCCTTGGGAAGGTGCCCTGGCCCTTTCCTTCCGTTCTGCGAGTTTTCCTGCTGCCCACGCTCACAGTGGGGCTCACATAGCCTCACCCAAGGGCCAGGGTCCCAGGCTATTTCTGTGATAACCCTTGACCTCGGTCCACCAAACCAAAGGCAGCACTCACGGGCAGGGTGAGAACAGATTATTCCAGTTCTTGCTCATGTCACTGCGGAGTCCAGGGAAGCAGGGGCCTCAGGCTCAGCTGGGCCAGGGCACAGCCCACACCACCGAACGCTGCTTCCCTCCCGTGTGGCGCCTCCAGATGTGCCAGCCCAGCACCCCCTCTCGCACTAAGCAGCCCCGCTGGTCCTCTTGAAGGCACCATGGCTGCCAGTCATTCTTGGCTCATCTCCCATGGAAACAACCCCAGGAGAAAGCCCCCTTTTCCCCAGATCTGACTCTCACGGGGACAGCCCTCTCCCTCCCCTGGAGCCACCTCCTCGGTCTGCAGGGCTGAGTGCACGGAGCTGCCCACCCCTGGCTGGGGACCCCTGTGCACCCAGGGGCTGGGCTGGGTGGGCTCCGAGTGGCCAGTCAGGTGGTGGAGGCAGGGAGAGGGCCCGATGGCGGCCCACAGCCTCAGGGCTCAGAGCCCAGCCCTGTCTCAGCGAGAGGGCGCCCTGCTCCCCACAGGCTGGCTGTTCCTCCACGGCTGAGGCTAAGCTGACTTTGCCAGCAGGAGAGGCCTGATGCTCGATGCGTTTGTGGAGGAAAACAAGGAGGAAGGGGCCTGCGGACTCCCTCTTCCCCACCTACTTCCCCCAACAAAGGAGTGTTTGACAGAGAATTCCGGCCGCATTCCTCTCCCTGCTCGGGGCCAGCTCTGACACACGGGGGCTGCTGGGTGGGCGCACAACAATGGGAGACATTGATGTGTCAGGAGGAGGTTGTTCGGAGCGGCCCCGCCTGGACCACCTCTGGCTCCATCCGCCTCCTCTGAGCTCCCACAGCCCCAGATCCCAGGGCTCGGAGAAGCCGGACTTTCTCCCGAGGGAGCCCTGGGGACCCCAAGTTCCTTCGCGTGGGCTTCCAGGGTGGGAGCTCGGTGGCGTGTCAGGGCACCCACCTCCGCCCAGAAGGGGTTTGCACACAGAGATGCTCTCCCACGCTGTGGCCCGAGGGCAGCGGTCACCTGCCTGCAGGGAACGGGGGAGGGGCTGGGTTTGCACAAACGGGAGGAAGAGGATGGGGTTTCTCCCACAGTTTGTGAAAGAATAGAGAGGACTCTGCTTCCAGGACAAATACAGCAGAATCACCCCCCACCCCACCCAGCGCCTGTGCCTGCCCTCTGACCCCAGCCTGCCCTTTGCACCACGCAGGGCCTGTGCCCTCTGACCCCAGCCTGCCCTTTGCACCACGCAGGGCCTGTGCCCTCTGACCCCAGCCTGCCCTTTGCACCACGCAGGCCTGTGCCCTCTGACCCCAGCCTGCCCTTTGCACCACGCAGAGCCTGTGCCCTCTGACCCCAGCCTGACCTTTGCACCACGCAGAGCCTGTGCCCTCTGACCCAGCCTGCCCTTTGCACCACGCAGGGCCTGTGCCCTCTGACCCCAGCCTGCCCTTTGCACCACGCAGGCCATTGCATGGCCCATCCTGGCCAGAACCGCTGCTCCGACACATTTGTTCTTCACCAGGGACCTCAGAGCAGGAGGAGCACTGTGCAGGTCGCAGGGAACGATGGGACAGGGAGCAGCGCCAGAGCCGTCTGTCCCAG